CGCAAACGCATTATCGCAGCGGACAGTTGGGCCTGTGTAAAAGCTTTACCCGCAAGAAAACGACAAGTCCATAATCCTGAAGAAGCACCATGCTCTGATTTTACTCTCCAAAGCGCACAAATACGCTCGAAGCTTTGCCGGGGCCGCGCCAACAGGCTTGGGATCCCGCTCGGGCCAAACCCGTGCCAAGGCGCAGACTCGGACCAACACCGTCACGCTCGGGAGTCCACTCGGGCCAGCTATGGATGCAACGCGCAGGCGCCTGCAAGGACCAAAGCGGCCAGGCTCGCTTGCCCGCTCGGGATCCCGCTCGGGCCGAGCACGGGTGCCACGCAAGGAAAAAGCAAAGGCAAGCGAAGCCAGCCTTAACTCCACGCCTAAAAGCCTGACAACTCCACCCCTAAAGCAATGCTTCCTGCGACTTGAAAGGGCGCCCGTAGCAAAAATACACGACATTATCAAGAAGCTCGCATTGTCCGAGTGTTGCACCATGTTGCATCCAAATGCGAATGCATTATCGTAGCGGAACAGTTGGGCCATCAAGTCCCGAACTCAAGCTGGGCTAGGACACTGTGTAAAAGCCTGACCAGCAAGAAAACGACAAGTCCATAATCCTGAAGAAACACCGTGCTCTGGTTTCACTCTTGAAAGCCCACAAATACGCTCGAAGTTTTGCCGGGGCCGCGCCCGCAAACAGGCTTGAGGCCCCGCCCGGGCCGAGCACAGACGCCGCGCAAGGCGATGGTAACGCGCAGGCGGCTGAAAGGACCAAAACGGCCGCTCGGGCCGAGCACGGATGCCGCGCGAAGCACCGCTCGGGATTTCCGGGGCGAGCGCGGATGCCACGCAGGCCTCAGACCCCCTTGCGGAAGCCATACCAGTTAGAGCACACCGCCAGCCCCTCATGCGCCTCGTTTGCCGTGGCAGCCGGGCCTCTTTGCATCACGCCAGCCAACCCGCTTCTCTACTGCCATAGCTGTCTTGAACAAAATCATTGACATTTGCATTGGATTCACAAAACAACGGCCCTGAAAGCCTGGCAACTCCACCCCTAAAGCAATGCTTCTTGCGACTTAAAAGCACGCCCGTAGCAAACATCAACGACATCATCAAGAAGCCCGCGTTGTCCGAGTGTTGCATCATGTTGCGTCCAAACGCAAACGCATTATCGCAGCGGACAGTTGGGCCTGTGTAAGAGCTTTACCCCCAAGAAAACGACAAGTGCATAATCCTGAAGAAGCACCATGCTCTGATTTTACTCTTCGAAGCCCACAAATACGCTCGAAGTTTTGCCGGGGCCGCCCCAACAGGCTTGGGATCTCGCTCGGGCCGAGCACAGATGCCGCACAAAGGCGCTGGTAAGGACCAAAGCAGACACGCTCGGGATCCCGCTCGGGCCAAACCCGTGCCAAGCGCAGATAAGGACCAACACCGTCACGCTCGGGAGTCCACTCGGGCCAGCTATGGATGCAACGCGCAGGCGCCTGCAAGGACCAAAGCGGCCAGGCTTGCTTGCCCGCTCGGGATCCCGCTCGGGCCGAGCACGGGTGCCACGCAAGGAAAAAGCAAAGGCAAGCCACGCTCAGGATCCCGCTCGGGATCCCGCTCGGGATCCCGCTCGGGCTGCCACGCAAAGGCGTCACTCTTGCGGAAGCCATACAGTTAGCACACGCCAGACCCTCTTGCGCCTCGTTTGGCCGTGTCAGCTAGGGCTCTTTGCATCACGCCTGCCAACCCGCTTCTCTACTGCAATAGTCACAAACAACGGGCCCCTGGAAAAGCCTGGCAACTCCACCCCTAAAGCAATGCTTCTTGCGACTTGAAAGGACGCCCGTAGCAAAAATCAACGACATCATCAAGAAGCTCGCGTTGTCCGAGTGTTGCATCATGTTGCATCCAAACGCAAACGCATTATCGCAGCGGACAGTTGGGCCTGTGTAAAAGCTTTACCCGCAAGAAAACGACAAGTCCATAATCTTGAAGAAGCACCATGCTCTAATTTTACTCTTCAAAGCCCACAAATACGCTCGAAGTTTTGCCGGGGCCAGGATCCCGCTCGGGCCAAACCCGTGCCAAGGCGCAGATAAGGACCAACACCGTCACGCTCGGGAGTCCACTCGGGCCAGCTATGGATGCAACGCGCAGGCGCCTGCAAGGACCAAAGCGGCCAGGCTCGCTTGCCCGCTCGGGATCCCGCTCGGGCCGAGCACGGGTGCCACGCAAGGAAAAAAGCAAAGGCAAGCGAAGCCACGCTCGGGATCCCGCTCGGGATCCCGCTCGGGATCCCGCTCGGGGCTGCCACGCAAAGGTGTCACTTGCGGAAGCCATACAGTTAGCGCACGCCAGACCCTCTTGCGCCTCGTTTGGCCGTGTCAGCCGGGGCTCTTTGCATCACGCCTGCCAACCCGCTTCTCTACTGCAATAGCTGTCTTGACAATTATTGACTTTGGCTTTGGGATTCACAAACAACGGGCCCCTAGAAAAGCCTGGCAACTCCACCCCTAAAGCAATGCTTCTTGCGACTTGAAAGGACGCCCGTAGCACAAATCAACGACATCATCAAGAAGCTCGCGTTGTCCGAGTGTTGCATCATGTTGCATCCAAACGCAAACGCATTATCGCAGCGGACAGTTGGGCCTGTGTAAAAGCTTTACCCGCAAGAAAACGACAAGTCAATAATCCTGAAGAAGCACCATGCTCTGATTTTACTCTTCAAAGCCCACAAATACGCTCGAAGTTTTGCCGGGGCCGCGCCAACAGGCTTGGGATCCCGCTACAGATGCCGCACAAAGGCGCTGGTAAGGACCAAAGCAGACACGCTCGGGATCCCGCTCGGGCCACACCCGTGCCAAGGCGCAGATAAGGACCAACACCGTCACGCTCGGGAGTCCACTCGGGCCAGCTATGGATGCAACGCGCAGGCGCCTGCAAGGACCAAAGCGGCCAGGCTCGCTTGCCCGCTCGGGATCCCGCTCGGGCCGAGCACGGGTGCCACGCAAGGAAAAAGCAAAGGCAAGAGAAGCCACGCTCGGGATCCCGCTCGGGATCCCGCTCGGGATCCCGCTCGGGGCTGCCACGCAAAGGCGTCACTCTTGCGGAAGCCGGCGGAAGCCATACAGTTAGCACACGCCAGACCCTCTTGCGCCTCGTTTGGCAGTGTCAGCCAGGGCTCTTTGCATCACGCCTGCCAACCCGCTTCTCTACTGCAATAGCTGTCTTGACAATTATTGACTTTGGCTCTGGGATTCACAAACAACGGGCCCCTATAAAAGCCTGGCAACTCCACCGCTAAAGCAATGCTTCTTGCGACTTGACAGGACGCCCGTAGCACAAATCAACGACATCATCAAGAAGCTCGCGTTGTCCGAGTGTTGCATCATGTTGCATCCAAACGCAAACGCATTATCGCAGCGGACACTTGGGCCTGTGTAAAAGCTTTACCCGCAAGAAAACGACAAGTCAATAATCTTGAAGAAGCACCATGCTCTGATTTTACTCTTCAAAGCGCACAAATACGCTCGAAGCTTTGCCGGGGCCGCGCCAACAGGCTTGGGATCCCGCTCGGGCCAAACCCGTGCCAAGGCGCAGACTCGGACCAACACCGTCACGCTCGGGAGTCCACTCGGGCCAGCTATGGATGCAACGCGCAGGCGCCTGCAAGGACCAAAGCGGCCAGGCTCGCTTGCCCGCTCGGGATCCCGCTCGGGCCAAGCACGGGTGCCACGCAAGGAAAAAGCAAAGGCAAGAGAAGCCACGCTCGGGATCCCGCTCGGGGCTGCCACGCAAAGGCGTCACTCTTGCGGAAGCCGGCGGAAGCCATACAGTTAGCACACGCCAGACCCTCTTGCACCTCGCTTGGCCGTGTCAGCCAGGACTCTTCGCGTCACGCCTGTCAACCCGCTTCTCTACTGCAATAGCTGTCTTGACAATTGAATTTGGCTTTGGGATTCACAAACAACGGGCCCCTATAAAAGCCTGGCACACCACCCCTAAAGCAATGCTTGTTGCGACTTGAAAGGACGCCCGTAGCAAAAATCAACGGCATCATCAAGAAGCTCACGTTGTCCGAGTGTTGCATCATGTTGCATGCAAACGCAAACGCATTATCGCAGCGGACAGTTGGGCCCGTGTAAATGCTTTACCCGCAAGAAAAAAGACAAGTCCATCATCCTGAAGAAGCACCGTCCTCTGATTTTACTCTTCAAAGCCCACAAATACGCTCGAAGTTTTGCCGGGGCCGCGCCTGCAAACAGGCTTGGGATCCCGCTCGGGCCGAGCACAGATGCCGCACAAAGGCGCTGGTAAGGACCAAAGCAGACACGCTCGGGATCCCGCTCGGGCCAAACCCGTGATAAGGACCAACACCGTCACGCTCGGGAGCCACTCGGGCCAGCTATGGATGCAACAACGCGCAGGCACCTGCAAGGACCAGCGGCCAGGCTCGCCTGCCCGCTCGGGATCCCGCTCGGCGCGAGCACGGGTGACACGCAAGGAAAAAGCAAAGGCAAGCGAAGCCACGCTCGGGATCCCGCTCGGGATCCCGCTCGGGGCTGACACGCAAAGGCGTCACTCTTGCGGAAGCCATACAGTTAGCACACGCCAGACCCTCTTGCGCCTCGTTTGGCCGTGTCAGCCAGGGCTCTTTGCATCACGCCTGCCAACCCGCTTCTCTACTGCAATAGCTGTCTTGACAATGGAATTTGGCTTTGGGATTCACAAACAACGGGCCCCTATAAAAGCCTGGCAACTCCACCCCTGAAGCAATGCTTCTTGCGACTTGAAAGGACGCCCGTAGCACACATCAACGACATCATGAAGCTCGCGTTGTCCGAGTGTTGCATCATGTTGCATCCAAACGCAAGCGCATTATCGCAGCGGACAGTTGGGCCCGTGTCAAAGCTTTACCCGCAAGAAAAATCCGAAGCAACGTGCTCTGATTTTACTCTTCAAAGCCCACAAATACGCTCGAAGTCTTGCCGGGGCCGCGCCCGCAAACAGGCTTGGGATCCCGCTCGGGCCGAGCACAGATGCCGCGCAAAGGCGCTGGTAAGGATCAAAGCAACCACGCTCGGGATCCCGCTCGGGCCAAACCCGTGCCAAGGCGCAGATAAGGACCAACACCGTCACGCTCGAGAGTTTAATGCAACACGCAGGCGCCTGCAAGGACCAAAGCGGCCAGGCTCGCTAGCCCGCTCGGGATCCCGCTCGGGCCTTGCAAAGGCAAGCGAAGCCACGCTCGGGATCCCGCTCGGGATCCCGCTCGGGATCCCGCTCGGGGCGAACGCGGATGCCACGCAAAGGCGTCACTATTGCGGAAGCCATACAGTTAGCACACGCCAGACCCTCTTGCACCTCGCTTGGCCGTGTCAGCCAGGACTCTTCGCATCACGCTTGCCAGCGCGCTTCTCCTACAATATTTGCCGTTTCCTGCAATGGCGTCTTGATAATTGAATTTGGCTTGGTGATTCACAAACAACGAGCCCCTCAAAGCCTGGCAACTGCACCCCTAAAAGCCTGCTTCTCCACCGCTAAAGCAATGCCTCCTGCGACTTGAAAGCGCGCCCGTAGTACAACGACTGACATTATGAAGAAGCTTGCTTCGTCCGAGTGTTGCATCATGTTGCGCGCAAACGCAAACGCATCACCGTCCCGAACTCAAGCTGGGCTAGGACACAGTGTGGAAGCTCTACCCGCGAGAAAAGACAAGTCCATCATCCTGAAAAAACATCGTGCTCTGGTTTTACTCTGAAAGCCCACAAACACGCTCGAAGCATTGCCGCGCAGAGGGGCTTGGGATCCTGCTCGGGCCGAGCACAGACGCTGCGCAAAGGCGCTGGTGAGGACCAAAACCAGACACAGTCGGGATCCCGCTCGGGCCAAACACGTGCGCCGCGCCAAGGCGCAGATAAGGACCACTCGGGCCAACTACTATGGATGCAACTCGCAGGCGGCTGAAAGGACCAAAACGGCCAGGCTCGCTAGCCCGCTCGGGATCCCACTCGGGGCGAGCACGGGTGCCACGCAAAGGCGTCAGACCCTCTTGCCGAAGCATACAGTTAGCACACGCCAGACCCGCTTGCGCCTCCTTTGGCCGTGTCAGCCAGGAGTGTTCGCATCACGCTTGCCAACGCGCTTCTCCTACAGTTTTTTTGCCAAGCAGACTCGCTCGGGATCCCGCTCGGGCCAAACGCATCAGTCCTGAAAGATCCGCTACCTCGCCACCACCTTGCAACAGCGAGAAGAATCGCCACGCTCGGGAGTCCACTCGGGATGCAACGCGCAGGCGGCTGAAAGGACCAAAACGGCCAGGCTCGCTAGCCAGCTCGGGACCCCGCTCGACCCGGCTACGGATGCCACGCGCAGGGGCCTTGGCGGGCAAACTTAAAACTTTCAGGATCCCGCTCGGGAGAAACGCGGATGCCACGCACAGGCATGTGAGAACGCACGCAAACGCACTTGGGCTTCCGCTTAGGCGAAGCAAGCTTCAAGAATCCGCTCAGGCTGAACTTGTAAGGCCCAACATACGGCCAAACCTCTGACTTACAGTTAGCACACGCCAGACCCTAGCGCCTTCTCAGCTGGTGTCAGCCAGGACTCTTCGGATCATCACGCTTGCCAATGCGCTCCTCCTAACTACAGTCTTTGCCCTTCACTGAAATGGCAACGCAGCAGTTTTAGTGCGTGGCATGCACCCCCATTATTCGGCGAAGGGCGCGCTTCTCACTTAGGTGCATCCATCGACGCAACTGCGGCACCCCCCCCCCAGGATGTTTCGAAGTAATGATGATTCTGGCATGGCAACAAGCAACAGCACCCTGCGCAACTCTGCAGCACCCTGCGCAGCTCTGAGTCTCGTCCTGCCTTCCTTCCTTCCTTCCTTCCTTCCTTCCTTCCTTCCTTCCTTCCTTCCTTCCTTCCTTCCTTCCGTCCTTCCTTCCTTCCTTCCTTCCTTCCTTCCTTCCTTCCTTCCTTCCTTCGCTTCCTTTGCTTCCTTTGCTTCCTTTGCTTCCTTTGCTTCCTTTGCTTCCTTTGCTTCCTTTGCGTCTTTTGCTTCCTTTGCGTCTTTTGCGTCTTTTGCTTCCTTTGCTTCCTTTGCTTCCTTTGCTTCCCTTGCTTCCCTTGCTTCCTTGCGTCCTTGCGTCCTTGCGTCCTTGCTTCCTTGCTTCCTTGCTTCCTTGCTTCCTTGCTTCCTTGCTTCCTTGCTTCCTTGCTTCCTTGCTTCCTTGCTTCCTTGCTTCCTTGCTTCCTTGCTTCCTTGCTTCCTTGCTTCCTTGCTTCCTTCCTTCCTTCCTTCCTTCCTTCCTTCCTTCCTTCCTTCCTTTCCTTTGCTTCCTTTGCTTCCTTCGCTTCCGTGCTTCCGTGCTTCCTTCCGTCCTTCCTTCCAATGCCCATGTAAAGCTATTTTGATGCCAAGCCTTATTTCAAAGACCTTGAACAATCCGACTGCCAGACTAGTTGGAGTGCTAACTGTTGGGCCTCAACCACGGCTTGGGAAAAAAACGCTGCGCAAGCGCCCAAACAGTTAGCACTCAACGTTGGAATGCCGTGTGCTAACTGATTGATACCCACTATAATTAAAACGGAGTGCGCCCGCACCAACAAACGTTGGGACATATCTCAAATCCAGGGCATTTCGTGGTCAAACATGCTTTCAACCCCCACAATTCGACGTTTACTGTTTGTTTCCACCCCCCCAGAAAAACACACCAACAAACCCCCAAAATGGGTGGGTGTTCTTTTTGGCTTCCCGCAAAGAAAAACACCCCCCCCTCCCCACCACCACAACAAACTCAAAAAAAATGGGTGGCTTCCCCAAGAAAACCCCACAACAAAAACTGGGTGTGGCGCAAGTGTTGGTCTTTGTTTCCATTTACCTCCACTTGCCTAAGGGCCATTGTGGGTACACTTTTTTTGGGCCACAGCCGCATTGACATGGAACCCCCACCCCCCCCACCAAAATAAGAAAGAATTGGGTGGTTTCCCCAAGACACCACCCAAAACCTGGACCCCCATCTCTCGCTTCTTTCCTCCGGCTCCGCGTCCGGCGCCGGCTCTCCGCCAAAGCACTCATACGCCCGGCCCGGCATCGCTTTCTGGGCCGAGCGAGCTGCGGGGAACCCACGCAGCCATGGCTCGAAAAACCGACAACTGGAACCCGACTCGAATAGGGATCTCTCCACCCGCAGTAGAGGTGTGGCATATATATATATATATATACATATGTATATATATATATATGGCTGCGGCTCAAAAAACCGGTACCAAACTGGAAGCCTGGTAAGTGGAAACATGGACCGAAACCTGCGGCTTGCCCCTCCTCTTGAATTTTGAGCCATTGGCAAAAAAATAAATAAATATGTGGACCAAAGGAGGTACTGTACATGGAATTTCGCAGTTGCCCCAGCTTGGTGACGTCGTTTTGAAGGGGACCGCCCCTCTTACCCGGACCCAAGTGAAGCCACATATGGCTATGGCTCAAAAAAGCGGTACCAAACTGGATCCCTGGAGGTGGAAACATGGACCAAAACCTGCCTAACCCCTCCTGTTTAATTTTGAGCCACACCCATATCAAGGAGCAGTTGAGCTTCGCGCTTGCCAGGTCCGTGCCGGCTTTCATCCCAAATGGCAAAGCCGGAGCCCCAAACATAATGGGCTGTCCCGCCCAGAATCCTTTGCGACCACATCACCAGTCATGAGAAGCTCTGAAAGCCCCGCGCGTCTGCCCCGGAGGCGCACTCAACAAAACCGCGAACCCAGGCGACCGGACCTCGAGACCCGGACCTCCCGTAGCAAAGTTGTAAAGCGGTCGGCAGTCAGAGACCCTGGCCAAAAAAAGTCATGGGACTTGCAACTTGCGAATTGAGACTTACCACCCCTGAGGTAAAAACCCTTCATCATGGGACTTACAATCCTTAAGGAAAAACCTGTTCATCATGGGGTAGCTCGCTGTAGGCCCAAGCAGATGGCCCCCCCCCCCTAGTGAAACCCTTCGTCATACTGTGGATGGACGGTTGCGAATTCACCGTGGTGAGAGACTCGCGGAGTTCCATTTCAACCATCCGCAGAACTCATCTGCCCAGGAAGCTTCCCATCGCGCGCCCGTCGCGCCTGGCTCGGGAGGCTCCTGAAAGCCGGGCAGGGGAGGGGAGGTGGGAGCTCAAACCAACCCCAGTCCAATGGGCGGTTTGGAGTGGTGGTTTGCTATTCTGGGCTTTTTGCCCACTTTTTGAGATGATGGGTTGGCTTGTTCAGCATGTTTGGGATTGGGATCGCTTGTTTGGGACTTTTCAAAAAAATAAAAACAAAGATAATTACCCGCGGAGAAAAAGAAAAACGCGGTGGGATTGCTTGTTTGGGACTTTTCTAGAAAATATGTAATTACCCTTGGGGGGAAAACAAACAAACTGGCATGTTCCACATTGGCAAGCAACCGTTGCATGACTGAAATGAATCCAAACGAAAGCCCCCGTGACGTACTGGCAGACACGCTTTAAGCACAACAGACACCTGTTCAATGCAGGTGCCGAGGCGTCTGGTGTAGCCTCAGATCCCGAACATGTTCGCTGGGCTCGGCCAGTTGGCCTGTTGGCCTGTGGATCTCTGGTCAACTGGGCTGTCCGCTGTCTAATCTTCTCAAAGTGCTTGACTTGTGGGTTAAAACCCCCAGCTGGCACCAAAAAAGACATCTAAAAACCTACTGAACCGGATGGCTGAAAACCAGCAAGTAAAACAAAATCCTAAATGACCAAACACGCCTTGGGCAAGCAAAACAACCCCCGCCCTCCCAAAAAAAAGACCATGAAGAAAAAGCCAAGTTGTGCGAAGAAAAAGCCCAAAGTGGCTCAGCAACCACAAAACGTCCGCCTGAAACTCCTGGAGCCCTGGAGGATGTTTTTTCGCGGCTCTCGCGAGGCTGTCCGGCCCGGCTTTGCAGGACCGGCGAGCGCGCGCCAAACCCCGAGATCCAAGGGTCCAAAACCGTGTGGGTGCGTCTCAAAACAACCCAGATGCGTGGCCCGAATCCGGCACCCTCTAACACGACACACCCAGGCAGCTCAAAACCGGTTGGAAGCTTCTTGGGATGGTCTTGAAAGAAAAAGGAAAGAAAGAAAGAAAGAAAGAAAGAAAGAAAGAAAGAAAGAAAGAAAGAAAGCCAGAAAGCAAGAAAGCAAGAAAGCAAGAAAGCAAGAAAGCAAGAAAGCAAGAAAGCAAGAAAGCAAGAAAGCAAGAAAGCAAGAAAGCAAGAAAGCAAGAAAGAAAGAAAGAAGGAAAACAGCCGTTTTGATCAGGGTCTCTCCGTTCAACAAGTGCCCCAACAGATTAGCGAGAAGAATGCTGCCAAAGCATGGTCTGAATAAGCAGGGTTTGGCTGCTCGATGGCTGCATGGCACATGAGCAACAGCACCAGACCTTCGCTACTTGGATTGCCAGGTCAGGCGAATTACTGGCGGATGGACGAAATTCCTGCACCAGTTTGAAACCATGGTTGAAACCATTGTATGTTTGTATTTACAGGGAAATCGAATCGGGTCTCTGAGCAGTGGTGCGAGAAGCAGAATTCGCAACCATCCACAGTAGGTGGTCAGGATGGGCAATTTCCTACAGTGGATGGACGACACTTTGAAACCATGGGAAAACATTGTTAGTTGCTATTTACAGGTGAATCATCATTTCAAGGTTTCTTAGGTGGTGCAGGATTTCGTCCATCCACAGTGTGTTTTCCCAACCGGGAGATAAGGGATCCAATTCCTCATGGACCTTCACCATGTGCTGGGCTCGTTGCCCGAATGATTCCCCAAACAGAAACGTTTCACCATGCCACTGCAAGGCCAGCAAAGGATATAGCCTCATTTCCTGGCTCCCCGACCCGGATATGGGTGCATGTCAGGTACTTTTTGCATAAAGCCACGAATGCTTGCTGCTCACTCTCGAATTCCGCCAATTCCGCCCCAGGGCGAGGCTTTGAGCGAACCCGATCTGCGTGCGCCCGTACTTTTCGCTTCCCTAACAACAAACATATCCCATGTTCCTACATACAGGGTGTCTTCCATTTCCCTTCTTGGAACCTCAGGAAGGCAATGTCCATGGGTTTCCACCAGTAAGTTGCAACCTAAGGGGAAATACTCTCCCCATTGAGTTGTTGTTTTGAAAACAGGCTCTTCCGAAACTGTTCTGTATGAAGTGGCTGTATAACACTGTGTATCCCGTTAATCCAGTGAGCCCCACCAATCTTGAGCCCCTTGCGAAAGCTCTTGGGGGTCAATTAGCCACATGGCCGGGTACAAGTCGGTGCGAATCTCGCACGTTTCATACCTGCCCGTAAGTCCCAGCGCTCACAGAATCTTTGTTTCTTTAACGGGTCATGTTCACACTCTCGGGGGCTGCCGTGCCTGCCACCCTCCCACGAATTGACATGAAACCTGACATGGGGCGCGACCAATTTCCTTTTAAGGGAAGCCCCGAACGACAGGCTCCAGGTGAATTGGTGGGAGGTTGGTCGGTGGCTCAGTCGCAAGTTTGCTTCGCCAAAGGCATGCCACGTGGCCAATGTTTGCAGAACTCCAACAAAGAAGGCCGACTCAGAAGCTCAACGAAAGTACAACGCTCCATGCACCAAAGACTTTACTCATAAGACAGACAATGTCAGAGCACTGGACATAAGTCCCTGAGGAATTCGTCCATATGTTTGTCCAATAAAGGATTGATGTGATGTTTCAAACCCCCAAAGTGTGGCCGTCTTGTTGGCGCGTCTTTCAACCAAACTGAAACAGGCAGCCTCCCAATTAAAGACACACGCATGTGGGGTGGGGGGGAGGTGTGGGGCTCTTAAAAAGCGAGGGTTAGTTTCCTTTTGGCTTCAAGTTGAATATCAACCGAAAGGACCGCATTTGGGTCTCTTTTTTAAGGGGAACCCCCAAAATGCCGCGACTCCCTTGCAAGCCCACAAAGAAAGGGGTACCAACTTTAAAAGAGCAAAAGGGACAACCCCCCCCCTCCCACGCCTCCCGCCCCTCCCACCCCTCCCCCCCTCCCGCCCCTCCCGCCTCCCACCCCTCCCCCCACCCCCCCCTTGTCCATCGGTCCATTCAGAAACCCTGCCCTGAGACCCCATAAGCAGCTGATCCGAGCGGCGGATCCGCGCTAATTCACTCGAAGCCCACCGACTGCTCCTGGGCTCGAGCTGAGGCCAGCTACCCTTTCTTGGATAAGGTTAAAGGAGCAAACAAGAGGAAAACCATCCATTTTGGGGACGCCAACCTTTAAAAAGACACCCAAGAAGGAAAGTGAGGAAACGGTCGCCTTCCTTGGGCTCTTCCTTTGAAACTCGAGCTTTCTCTCTGAGCTTTCTCTCTGAAAACCGCCCAACAAAAACACCCGGTACCCTCCAAAAAATCACCGTGTCTGGCTGCCCCGCTAGGATCTGCCTCACTTGCACGGGCGAGGTGAAGGGATCTCCGGAGATGGATGAAATTCTGTAATGCACAAATCACCTACTGGATCGTGAGAAGAGGGGTGGTTCCCTCATTCTCTGAGAACCAACGCCCAAACCACACTTGCGGAGCCCACGAAGTTCCAACTGCAATCGCTGTTGTTCACAAAATGGACTCTGCGCTTTTTGTGCCATGAGACATCCCTTCCGAGCGCACCACCTGCTGTTGTTGGGGTACCTTTGGCCTTGACATCCATGATAGTGGTACACCGAATCAGGAAACGGGAACGTCTTTTGAGGCTTGGGGTTGTAAAGGCCATGAGCCATCGTCCAAATATGCAGGTACAGCAAAGTACATGTGAAATTGAGTGAGTCTTCTGAAATGTTGGTGGAAATTCTGTGGCTGGTCGGCCCCATATTGACAACCCTTGAAATGCACCATGTCCCCCACCAAACCGGACACATATGGACACATATTTTTTAACCAAAACCAACACAGAGCATAAAAACCAAAGCATATGCCCTCCAATTAACATGGAACCTGACGTTCGGGTGTCCCTGTAAAAGGAAAAAGGTAAAAGGTTCCATGCAAAATTGGTGGGAGATCGAACCGTGTCTTCCATTTGATAAAGTCACTAGGAAAATGGGAAACATAGTTGTCCAGTCGTGAAATCGATTCCTTTAAGAAACCAACCGCGCCAAAATGCGAAACCATCTGAAACGCAAATGGATGTCCATAGCACCATTTATGAACCAACAAAACATGTTCATTCCAACGCAGGGCTGTGGGAAATGACCACTTCTGTGATGCAACAAAAAGGGCTTCCCACGGACAAACCCCCCTTTTTCAATCTGGAGATTCCCTTGTATCACAGAAGTGGTTGGATAAACCCCGAATGATCCACCACAACCCTGTTCCAACGCAAATGGCAGGAGTCCGCCAACCCGTCGCCCCCACTTAGATGGTCTGGGAGGAATCGTTCAATGGCCAGCTTTGCCCTGGTTCTAACCGACCAAAGCTATGGTTGTAAGTCCAACCTGTAGGCAGGGCAAAGCTAGCCATGTGGCTAAGTGCGTCCCAGAATGATGATTCGAGTTAGGCCCAGTTATAGAATGTAGAATTTATTGTTTGCCTCACTTTGAGGCACTGGCAAAATGCAAAATGTATTTAAATGTATCCTAAGTCTACCCCAACCCAACCCCCACGTTGCAGACCCCCCCAAGTATCCTAAGTCTAGACAGAAAACCATCCATCGAGGCGTTGATCGAAGAGCTGATGGATCCAAGACGCTGAGTCCAGCTCCATGGTCACATTGCTGCTGGCCTGGAGCATCCCCAGAGCCCATTTTTGGCTACAGGGGCTGGGAGGGAGGGAGGGAGGGGGTTCCCTAGGTTCCTCTCTATTCAAAAGTCTTACAAAGGGCTTGTCGAACTGTCCGGAAGTCCAACCTCCCCCTCCCCTCCCTCCCCCCCAGCCCCCAGAGGCCCACTTTCAGTCACCAACAACACCCGCCGCCATTTCGCACCACGAAATGAAACCAAGGTTGAAACAGTGGTGTGTTGGTATTTACGTTGGGGAATCATCGTTCTAGGGTTTCTTGGGTGGTGCAGGATGTCGTACATCCACAGTAGGATTGATATATACCAGGAAGCAAAACCGAGTGGCATCAACATGACCGTTGGATTGCTCAGGATTGACATCTGAGTCCGTGTACGCAGGTTCCAGTCCTGGTTTCCATTTGCCAGGGCAAACCCATTGAGGGGTTACCCCATTTTTGACTCACTCCTGATCCAAAGAAAAGGTGTACATCCCTCTTTCTGCACAATGTGTGGTGTACCCTTGCGGCTTAGTTTGCTTTGTTTGAAGTGGGCTATAAGAACAAGTGCCTTTTTTCAAAATGATAAAACAACAAAAACACATGTGCTGAGCCAAACCATGACGTCAAGACCTTCCGGTGGTCTTCGCCTAAGAAAAAGTGCTTAGGGGCTGGTAGGGCGCCTCTCTGAAACCGGAGAGGGCGACAGCGGGCCGGAAACGTGCTGGGCTTCCTCATGAAAAACGCGCAGCTTCTGCATCAGTCGGTCAAATCGGATAAATGTTCAAGTCAAACCCAAAACCCGGGAAAGTTGGGTTGGGATTTGGACAGTCCCAACCAGAAATCAGTCGGTGCCGATATCCGCCTTCTTACTTCTGCAGATGTTGGGTAGATCATTTCCATGGTTTGCCTTTTCCACCGTTTGGGGGATACAAGTGCGCAGCGCCCCCTAGTGTAGAAACCCTCTTCAAGGGAGGCTGTTCAGAAATCAGAAAAGGCAACCCCTGAATTTGATACAGGTACCAACTCACAAGAAAAGGTCCCACCCAGTTCCTGGCCATTGCTAACTTGTGGTTTCCCTGGTTATCTCGGTTGCTTTCTGCTCCCCTGCCTAAAAGTCTAACTTTTAGGGGTTCAATGGAAAACCCATTGGTTGGCAAAAAAAAATAAAGTCCTACATCCAAGCAAAATCCAGCAAAGTTATCCATCATCATGTTCAGTGGACCTTTTGATCAACACCCAAATGGTTTCCAGCTATCGTCAAAATTTAACCACCAGGGGATATTGATCAACCCCCATTTCGGAGACCGGTTTCCTGCCTGTCAAAAAGGGCGTTTTCGGTGTCAATCCAAAAGGCTCTACGGAACACACCCATGTGACAATGTGGGTGGTGTCCAAGAATATGGGGGCAGTGGGTGATGCTGAAAAAATGGAAACCCACCACTGTTGAACGGGGTCCCTCAGTGTATGGCGCACGCATGTGAGTCGCAATCAAAACCTTGTACTAAAATGGTCTACCCAGAGCCATGTACAGGATTCAGAAGGCGGCCGCAGCTATTTATGGTTGGGATCGTCCCTTACTAACCTTCATCTGCCCGGGGTTTGAGCAAGTGGCTCATGTGTTGTCTACCTTTGGGTGAGTTTGCTTGGCTTGCAGTGGACTGATATAAGAGAAAGTGCTGGGCAGGTCCTATTTGATTCCCCGCAAGCCGACAGGAGCAGGCCACTGAAAATGGCGGACTCGATGGCGATGGCACGTGGTGAAATCCTGAATGTTGCCCGAAGAGGGTGTTGCCAGGCTGGTGTTCGGCTGATTTGCGCGTTTTGTGGAAGACACTGCCAGCCAAAAAGGCAAACCTGACAATGATCCTAAAGCAAGTCATCAACTACAAAACTAGCCGCAAGCTTGGCAAACCTTGGCCAACAAGAAGACACACTAAATCCCACCCCAATTCAGCCAAACATCATCCAAATGCTGCCTCCACCAATTTAAAAGTCCAATCCCCACTCTAGCTGACCTCCGAACCAGCCAGAACCTTGCCCCTGAGCAACCTCAAGAAAATTGCGAAAGTATTCCTAAAAGTCATCTCACTTGATCCAACCAACCCAACCACCCACCAACCAACCAACCAACCATGTCTGCCAGCGCCACGCCTGTGCCAGGGCAATAGGAACAAAACAAACTCAAGTCGACGCGTCGAGCCTCCAGCTCCTCTCGCTTGGCCGACGCATCCTTTGCGTGGCGCCTCAGCATCCATGCAAAACCCGGTTGAACCTTCTGCCGGCTTGGGCCTCTCGAGTGGTTAAGCTTGGCGTTGAGCTAGGCCTGGTGAATAGAAGGGTGCACTTGTTTGTATGTGATGCGTATAACAGATATACGCAGGCACACGCAACCAAGCAATGGTTCGTGGCAGAAAGGCAACCTAAAGATATTACCAAGCAACCAAACGACCGGCAACCAGCACCTCCCGACCCTAGCAATTAAAACCCGGCATCGGTAGAACCCAGGGTGACTTGTGGTGCCAAAGTGGCTGAAAGTGGCAGGCCCCTCCAAGCACCCGCCCAGTCCCAGGTCAACGTAGAGTGCCCACAAACTGGACCCGCTGCCCTTTGGCTTCCCAAAGAAAACCAACCTGAATAGGCCACCCTCAAAGATACATATAATATAGAGCTTTTCTGTTGCCGAGGAAAAAAGGGAGTCCAAGAGGGGGTCACTGGATTCCTCGTCAACAGTTGCAGCTTGCTGGTGGTGTCCAACAAAAAAAATGGTCCAAAAAGGTTAAGCTCGGGACCCCTGTCGAAGATGGGCCTCAAAATGGACCACCTGCATTGGCTCCCGTTCTGTCGCAAGCGTCGCCAGGTTCATCGGATCAAGGCGCCAGAAGAGGCAGCCTGCCACAACGTAGAGTACCAAGCCCAGAGTGTAAAACACCTGAGGCGAGGGTTGAGAGGCCAACCAACCCACCAACCAGCCAAGCCAGCCAGCCAAGCCAGCCAGCCAAGTCAGCCAGCCAGCCAGCCAGCCAGCCAACCAACTGACCAAGCAACAGACCAACCAACTGCAACTCACCGAACCGACCAAACAAACAAACAACCAGCCAAACCCAGCAAGCTACAGGCCTGTAAACAACTCCCGCACTACAGGGGAACAACCCAAGAGAGAAGGCATGCTGGGGCATGGCGGGAGCGGAGCACAACTCAAACTGTGCTGGGCTTGGTAGACCTTCTACAATCTAACAAGTCATAAATCACACATCGAAATTAGATTGCAATAGAAATGCATGGCATCGCGCTGTACAGCTTTGCTCTGACCAAGAGTTGCAGCAATCTAAAGGTCTAATGCTGTCTCGTGGAACATCTTTCTGATATGCAAGCGGAGCTGGTACAGTTTGGGATCTAAGTCGCCATGAATACGAACATGATTATGGTGTCTTTGTGTTGAAACGTCCATACTGTAGCTTTGGCACACAAGGGCTACATGGTTGCCATATGCTGCAACTAGCATTGTAGACTTGATGCGCTGCCTGCCTTCGCAGCACATTTATTGTTCAATTTCGACGAACGTTTACACGGTGAGAAACATTAAAACGCATACATCGCGTTCTGCTGGCTCCACATATCTTGTGTGAAGGACAATCTCTCTGGAGATAAGCCATGATCGAAAGACTCCGAAAACCAATGGCCATCGGAAAAGGGTATAGCACGCCAAGCCATGTTTGAATAATTTGAAAGGAGGGTGAATGATGCTACTGCAGCAACAATGCATACCTATCCAGTGTCTCCCGAATTTGCGCTGATTGATCAACCTGGTTGATAAATTGGTGGGGTGTGCTGCTTCAGCCATCGAGAAAAAACATTGGAAGCGTCGAAGCGACCGATCCGGTTCTGGACGGACTTTCGAGGAGTCATTGAGTTGCGAATCTGATCGCTCGCCAAAGAGTTCTTGTTTTCTCACGTTTAATGTTGAACAGGGATCCTTACATTACACACCTGAACATTGCCTTGTAAATGGTGGTTTCCCTTTATTTTGCTGTTGAAAAAGCCATGTTTCAAATGTTTGCAAAATGGCCATCTTTTAAGGAGCCCTGTTGAAGACGGCACGAATCACTCCAGTTTCCAGATCCCAGGGTTGGTTTCCTAAGGCGGGGATCTCGGGGGAGGGTTCGATGGATTTGGGCTGGGTTTTGGGTGGGTTTTGCCGGGCCAGAGGCCCAAAGCACAAGAACTCTTCGCCTCAAGCCCGGGATTTCGATCATGTCTCGAACGTTGGGCAGTGGTCAAAACGCGGGTAACCCCAAAACAGCTAGGTAAATCAATGGCAAGAGCCATGGACTAAAATCCTGGCGTCCAATTGGCGCATTCATCCCATTTGCTCATCCAAACCCTGGATTAGTTTTTCGGGTTTTACCAAACACTCTTGGAAAAAGCCTATCCCCGGCGGCATGCCATGGCCTGAAAATCCGCGCGGCCCAAAAAAAATAAAAAAAAATAATAACATAATAATAATAATAATAATAATAATAATAATAATAATAATAATAATAATAATAATAATAATAATAATAATAATAATAATAATAATAATAATAATAATAATAATAATAATAATAATGTGGTTCCTTCCTCCCATCCCAATGGCCCAACTCATCCCAAGGCGCGGCCATGGTGAGCCCAAGGCCCCAGTTCTTCAGGTCCATACCCTGCTGGATCTTCTTGGGCGCCACCATCTTGGCCTCCAAGCCTCGGCTCAAGCGAGCTCGCGCGCTCGCTCAAGCTCGCGAGGCGTGGGTATTGGCGCCGGCGAGAGGCAGGCTCGCATCTCTACATGTGTATATAAACACAAATAGGCGTGTATATATATATATATACAAATAAATGTGGATATGGATATATACACATGCGTATATACGTATATATATACACATATTATATGCTATATATGTGCCAAGCGCCCCCCCCCCCGCCAAAAACAAAACTTCTCCACAAAAAGAACCTGCCCGATATCTACTTGCTTGCGGTTTTAGTGGAAAAGGCTGAACAACCATCTGCTAATTCTGGTGCCTAGCGTATATGTATCACTCCTCATGAGTCATGGGAGAGGCTTAGCCTCGAAGGACAGCGGACAAAGCTTTGAGAGTGCCTTTCTCCCTCCCTCCCTCCCTCCCTCCCTTCCTCCCTCCCTCCCTCCCTCCCTCCCTTCCTTCCTTCCTTCCTTCCGTCCCTCCCTCCCTCCCCCTTCCCCTTCCCCTTCCCCTTCCCCTTCCCCTTCCCCTTCCCTTTCCCTGTCCCTTTCCCTTTCCCTTTCCCCTTTCCCCTTTCCCCTTCACTTCCCTTCCCTTCCCTTCCTTCCTTCCTTCCTTCTTTCCTTCCTTCTCCCTCCCCCTTCCCCTTCCCCTTCCCTTTCCCTGTCCCTTTCCCTTTCCCTTTCCCTTTCCCCTTTCCTTCCCTCCCTTCCCTTCCTTCCTTCCTCCCTCCCTCCCTCCCTCCCTTCCTCCCTCCCTCCCTCCCTCCCTCCCTCTCCCTCCCTCTCTTCCTCCCTCCCTCCCTCCCTCCCTCCCTCCCTCCCTTCCTTCCTTCCTTCCTTGTTTTTCTTCCCTTCCTTCCTAGCGCCCCAAGCGCTGCTTGCTGCCTGGGGGCGCATCACCCCGTCGGAGCTGCCCCCACTGACAGGGGGGATGACCAGCTCATCAAAGGTGTTGGCACAGGCCATGGGGCCTCGCGCGCGTTCGTTCGGAGAACCTCTTCCAACCTCCAGGCTCCTCATGGGTGAGGGGCATCTTTCTTCGGGGTACCAAGAAAAAAAGGAGGAGTTTTGTTTTTGGGTTTCCTGTTGCTCCACGAGGCAGGGGCATCTTATTCGGGCTACCAAGACAAAAAGGGACTTTCCTTGCGGCTTCCCGTGAAAAGCCGCAAAACGGGGTACCACACCCAGATGAGAATAGTGAGCAGTCATAGGTTAGAGCGCTGGAGACAATGACATCGCTGATTTAACCTGAGCCACTTCCCTTGGTGTGGGCTGGGTTTCGGGATTTCTGTCAACATCGAAAAGGATTTGGGGTATCCGAAAATGATCCTTCCAGCAAAAGCCCCAGAAGCTTGAATTCGCCGAAGGCTCACCTGATGTTGTTCGGGCGGTTCTCTAGCAACAAGAGTCTACCCAAACATGCCCACGAATTATGCTGACTGTAACATGCCTACCCCCCGGGACCACGCCACTGCTTTTGACCGAAGTTGCCTTAAAAGCGATTCGATGTCTTACTGGCATTGCCCAAAAGTAGGTCATGCAAGTTCTGCTTCTGGTCAACTCAATTGCTCGCCCGCATCGACCAAACGATATGGCCGAATTGGCTGGTGTTCCCGCGCGATTCGGGTTTGAGCAGGTCATAGGCCCGAATCAAGGCCGAGAGGTGCAGTCAGAGGGCTCCCTACTTGAAAATTCAACCGGCTCCAGCTCCCAGTTGACCACCGGCCGCCGCCTGCCATTCACCAAAGGTGGCAAGACGAAACGAGATCCCCCGTTTCCAGATGTTCATCCCGGTCAAAATTATGGGCAAACGCCGCTACCAGGGGCCCGAATTAAAGACATCGACTGGAGGCAGACATCCGCCGCTCGGCGCGCCTATCTTGGGGTTGGGGCCCAGGTTGCCAATCATCATGCCGCAGTCCTTCCTTGGTTGCGAGCAACAAGGCGTCCGATTGAAGAGGCGAGACACGACCCAGATAGACGCCAAGGCCAACACAGACCCAAAGACAAAGTCAACAGCAATATGGAATACGAGTCACGCCTGCTTCGCTTCAGTGACACATGGCATGATCTACCTAACAAAAGTTGGAAAATGGTTCGCCCGAAACACATCAATGAGTAAGTCCCCCTGGTTTTGGGAAAATTATTCAGAGCTCCTCCCATATCCCTTGGTTGCTGTTGGGGGTTTGGTGGAAAACCCCTTGATTTCCAAAAAGGTTCCTTGATTTCCCAAAAAGTTAAAGTCTAAAGATCCAACCCGCCAATAGCAGTCAAGAGGACTCCCCCCCAAACAGGAGAGCCTCACGCCCACGACCTCGCGCAATCAAAACGCGCGCGCAAGCGCGACAAATTCGACGACGCGAGAGGCGAGGGGCACGAAGTCCTGCGCCACCTGAGCGCCGCCCCCGAAGAGGAGCATCACATCCACCTCCAACCTGCGGTCAGGCACTCAGAGGTTCGAAGCCGAGAGACGAAAAACCCGGGGGGGGGGGGGACATCCGGGGCGGGTGGGGGGTTGTTGGGTCATTTCATGTGGATGGCTCAGGAGACCTGTATAGAACTGGTGGAACCTTTTTCTGGATGCATGTTGGGTAATGTTGACCCCAACCAACCAGTTTAGCTTCATAGGGGGGGGTGGCCCCTCCAAAAGTAGAGTGATTCCCCGCATTTCATCCAGAAAGAACCCACTCCCCTTACTAATAAACTGGGTTGATTACTATGGGGTCAACACTATATATTGTGGATGGCCCAGGATACCTTATGGTCCCCCTATATGGTGAGAATTGGCCAGGTGATAAAGTGGACCATCCTGACCCTGGGATTCAAACCACCATTAAAACATTGGGCCTCATATAACCACCGTTGTTTGCCCATCAGGTTGCAAAAACAAAGCAAAAAACATGAACGAGGCCCCCAAAACTCTCCGGGTTCCGCTCACCGGCTTCGACCCAAAGAAGCCCCAAAAAAAAAAACACAAAAGTGTCCACCGCGCGCCCATCTCCCACCCCCAAAAACCGCGCGCCCATGTCCCACGGCCGCTGGCCGCTGGCCTCTGCCTCAGCTCCAGGCGCAAGGGCAGCTGGCCCCCGGAGAAGAGCAGGTCCCCCGCCAGCGAGGAGAGCCTCGATCGACCCGCTGGGCCCACGTGAGTCACTGGCTCAAGACGCGGGGTTAAGATGGTCGTAATCCCAGATACTCCCCACACGGGACAGTTGCCCATGGTCAAAACTGGGGGCCCTACATGGGTCAAAATCAAACCCGATATTAAAATGGTTGACCCAGAACCATGCTTACAGAAACAAGAAGGCGGAGATCCGCTGCTATTTATGGCCAGGGGATTGTCCCCTACTATCCTTCATCTACCCGGGTTTTGATTGTGGCTCACGTGGGATGGATTGGCAACATGTGCGCAGTGGAAAACCCTGGGCTGTCCGTTTTCAGATCCCCCGGTAAAGGTTTGACTAACTTTTCGTGGGTCAGATGGAAGCTACCACGAAACACTAAAAGGCTAACAAGCTAAGGAACCGGATGGCTGGGAGCCACCAAGAAACCTGGGATACACCCCCTTCAGGAGTTGGATCCACAGCCAGGAACCTGGGCTGAGTTTAAAACCAAGAGCAAGGCTCGCCCTCTGCAAGAATCAGCACACAGAAACCTAGATGGTCCCTAGTATGATACACCCGCTGCAACATACTCACCATCATGTATGCCGCCATGGCATGATCTACAATATTCTACAATTGTTTGAAAGGCAATTGCCTGCCGGCCCCCCCCCAAAAAAAAGAAAAAAAAAAGAAGATAAAAACACGGTGCCTCTGATTTCCCTCAAAGCCAGCCCTCAAAAAGTCGGGGATCCACACAAACAAGTCAGCAAGTGGTGCGGGCAAGCGGCAGCTTGGCGTTGATGGTGGTGTTCGCCTTAACCCAGGTGGATCCATTCCCATCCTGAGACACGGGGCAAACAAAAAGAAAAAACAGGCTGGAGGCCGGCATGTTCGATCCATTGCCCCTTGAGGTGTCAAGGGAGGCTAGGGTGGAGGGGGAGGTCCAACAAGCCTTTGACCCGTTACGGCAAGGCTAAAAGTTGAAAAGCAGTTGGAGGGGTCGAAGGTTTTAACCCATGATCCCATGCCCATGAAAGGACAGGATGCAAGGATCAAAGGAAAGTGCCTTCTTGCGAACTTGTCAGGGTGTCCCAAGGCGGTTCAAATCAGCTCGCTTCGTGTTTCCTCAAACAGCAACTCGCCGGATACGCCTCTCAGGGGCTTTATCTCCCCAGTGACCCAAAATGTACCTCCTATGAACAGGACGGGTTCATTACCCCGGTGTCGACCCTCCAAGCCAACGGAAACGAAAGAAGGTCCCGACCTCCAAACGCACCTCGATTGGGGGTCCCCTCACGGGGAGAAGCAGTGGTTTTCAGGTACACCTGGCTGACTACGCGGCAATGAAGCGTTGCATGGGAGAGCAAATGCAGGTAACACAGGTGCTGAAGATTTCTCTGACCTCAGAAAACCAAGAATTAAACCTTGTAGGACATACTGATACCAGAAGTAGCTCGTCTGATCTACTCGCCAACGCCAGAACTAGACTCTGCATTGCCCGATCCCACAGGGACGTGATTAGGCCAACTAACTAGATGCGTCAACACGAGGATGCCCCGCCTAGGCTCCAAATGAAACGCAATGGAAAAGGAAAGCAGAGGGGGAACAGAAGTGTACCGAAAGGAACCAAGCCAAAAGTAAGCCAAACATAAACTCAACGAAAAGAAACGCTAAACCGGACCCAAAGCGATAAAACGGAAAACAATCATGTGGCTGTGGCTGTGGGTCAAAACCCTGTACCCCTGGTGAACATCAAAATAAGTGGCAAATGGATGTTCATCCACCCGAAAATGGCTCGCCATAGGTTCTGCCCCATGGCCATGTGAGGCGTAACCGCCAACCATCCGCCTACCGCCTACTTGAAGGGGCAGGGTACTTAGTAAGTGGTTAGTAACCGTGGTCATCACCCACTGAACAGAGACTTATAACCCTGGCTTTGGTGGGTTGGAATGGTTCCTAACCACTTAGCTGACGTACCAAATCCCTCGCCCCTAAGTAGCGCCCGCCTACCGCTCCGCCAGGGCTCTGCTGGGAAGTAGTTCTCCTTTCCCGGCACGTCCTGGGTGTGTCCCACCTCCCTCGGCAGCGCAGGTCGCAGACTCCCAAAGAGAAAGGAGAGAAAAGAAAAGAGAAAGCGAGAGAAACAAAGAAACCAAGGAAAAACAGAAAGCAAAAGAAGAAGGAGGAGGAAGAATTTTAAAAAGAGGAAGAACATGAAAACGAAAAGAAAAGGAAAGAAAGAAACAAATAAATCTAAAAAATGTGTATATATATATATATATTTATAGCGGTGGATTGGCGTTCGGTCTTTTGGGGGCACGGCGCAAATCCAAAAAGAATCGAGAAGGCACACCCGCGGCAAACTGCCCCTTGGAAGGGCCAGCCCTGCAGCCATCAAGCTCAAACAATCAGGCGCGAACAAAAAAAGAAGCGCCCCAGCGCCAGAAAAATACCGGCGCGTTCTGCAAGGATCAAAGGGCGATCCTTCAGTGCGACGCAGGGCGTTTTCCGTTTTTTTCGTTTCCATTCGGATTTCTTGGAAACTGGCTCCGTGCTGGAGAAACGCAAACAATGCCTGACAAGCGGGCAGTGGGCAGACCTGGATTTTGCTCTTAGAAACTCTGGCCGAGTCGCGTCATGGATCGGCCGATGTAGACAGTACCCGGCTCGGTCCACTCGAAGCCTCGCAAATTTGGCGTGGCGTGCTGCGCTGTTGGGAAGTTGCCCAGTGGATTTCCATGGGAAAAACGGGCATCCTTATTTGGGTTTGGTTCAGCCCAAAGGGCACCCCTTCCCAAAAAGAAACTAGGTCCTCCAGTAGAGAGGTTAGAAGAAAGGCACCAACTTTTTCTGTAGTCTAATTTAGTAGGGGAACCCTCCCCCAAAAAAGAAACGGTAAAAGGGCACTACTGGGGAGACCCAGAAAAAGGAAACGAGGGCGCCGCTGAGCAAGTGGGGTGAGGGGTGTCAGCAGGGCAACGAAACCAACTCTTTAGAGCGGGGGTGGAGCCTTTTTTTACTTCATCTTTAATTCCCACAGCTGGCAGGCGCAGTTCCACCCCCACCCCACACCAACTGAAGAAAATCACCAATTCACAAGAGAGGGCCTAACCCCCGTCAACCAGTGGCCTGGAGTTGATCTCATTGGCATCAAAGCAAGCCCATCAAGAAAGCCATGAAATCTGAGAGCAAGAATCCAGAGCTTCAATTAGAGGGCAGAAGCCGTTTCATACAGTCGGAGCAACATCAAGCCCATCCATTTCAAGGCAGATCCGCTTTAGCTGCTATTCAATCACCTTGCGAAGAAGCCGGGTCAGCAAAAATGCTGGAGGACAAAGAACGGAAGATTGGGGGGGGGGGGGGGTTCAAACCGAATGCAAAACTGCTCATGGGCACTGAGCCGACCCCCGCCACAGCAAGTCAACACCTTAGAGAGCGAAACCTCTCGGAACTGACTTGCTGGTGCTTAGTAGGGCGAAACCAAATCGAATGGATGGCTTTTCTCGGAATCATCCCATGTCTCATTCCCTGCATCTCTCCCACCCCTTTCGCATTGTTTTTCGAGACGCCTATGGAGTAGGGGTTCGGGTTCTGGCACTTCATCTCGATGATGAGGTCCTCGGAACCCACGAAAACCGGCGAAACCCGAAAACCGGTGCTCTGGGAGGTGTTCCGGGCCTGAAAGAGGACCCGTGGAACCGCCAGAAACACGGGTTGACCCGTGTTTTTTTCCGAGCCAAAGCCTAGAACCACCGGGCTCGCTTTGGCCAGTGAAGGGCACCTGTCGGTCACAAGAAAAGCTCTGCGTCAGGGTGCCGATGCGCACAAAAAGGAACAGAGATTGGCCGGGGCTTAGATCTGCAGATCTGCAAGCCTCGTAGCGACCTGGAACTAGCACTCCAGGTAGCCTTTGAACCAGAGAGGAGACTCCCATCCCTGCTGTTGCTGGCAATGAACAAGGGAAACTAGAGAACGCCGAACAGCCCAACCCAACCCCAACCCCAAACCAACTCGACCCAAAACGACTTCGATCCCAGGAACAAAGCTGGTGGCGGAGATCAGAGGCACACCCACGTGCAAGTTCTGCATCTGCGTGGACCCGTGGCGGCACTCGATGGTGCTGTACAAAGGCGTCAGCCGCACGTAGATGCCTCGTGAGATACGAAGATCCGCGGACCGGCTTGAAATAAAAAGAAATAGGGTTGCTTAAACAGGGCTTGCTTGGGAACAAAAAAAATGCCTGGTCCCACCTTAGAAATTAATTGGGGGCTGGCGACATTTGGGGAGAGCCGGAGGGCTTACACGATGGCTTTGTTCACAGTGGTTCTCCAGCGGCAGACAGCCTTGAAAAGCTCTTCTTTTTTTTGGTATTCTGCCTTCTCAATCTGCTGGCTTGAAAACGTGCTTGAGCTGTTCTCCCCCAACAGCAACTGGCGCCAAGCCTCAGTTTCTTTTCCTGGAGCTTCCCGGCTGGTTGCGGGTCCCGATACTCTTTGCCCAAGTGATCGATCACAAAACCCTCCAAATCAACTGGGACCTGAGCCCTGTTTCAGAGGAACCCCTAGCTTTCGGGAGAGCAGACAGAGCGGCATGGCCTCAAAGTGCAAGACTCCCTCTGATTGCTTGATCATCTACCCCCACAGTTCACGCAAGAAGACAACAGTCCTTTGAATAAAGAATAGATGGCACTTGTAAATGATTAAAATCGTAAACAAAAAGTGGAACCCATCTATGCTCTACCAAACTGACCTAAAAGGAGGACACCGTTGGTTCTTTGCATATGCGGCAACCGTTCATGCTTCAGCTCGGCCCTTGGCTTTCACGCTCCAGGACACCTACGTAAGAGGTCAAAATCTCGTAGGCAGGTGCTGCTTTTCGGAGAACCAAAATGCCGAAGCAGTCTCGGCCTTAACGAGAAAAAGGCGCAAGGACCTAAAAAATTGCACGGGCCCCGCAACCTGCGAACCGAACCTTCATGGAGATGGCGACGGCCGTTCAAATATTCACCCAGTTGCGAGTTCGTGCAAGAAAAAAGTCTGGCGCCGGATATCTATGGTGGCTCCTGTAAGAAGAATCATGCTGACTCATGTTCAACCCCGGCTTCAGAAACCTCTGTCAATTAATATGGGGGTTGGTTTTAGTGGAGGTCCAGACCACTTTTGGACGTATTGTCCAAAACCACCCCCAGATTAACAGTGTGCAGTGGCTTCCGACCAAAAGCAAAAGGGGGCCTTCAACCATGGCACAGGGCACAAAATGGGAAGTGGCCTCTTCGACTTCCCTTTGGGCGTGTCTTTTTTTCGGGGACTCCCCTCCCAAAAAACACACACACACAAACGGTGGTCGTCTGTTTGGGTGTCCTTTCAAAACCAGCCAAGGGGTCCCAAAAAAGACGACAAGCCACCCACGTAACGTAGGATCGAGGGAAAATGATTTGCGTGGCGAGGCAGTGATTGCCGTTCCCACCCCCGGCAGTGGGCACAGCTCAGCCGGGTGGCTGGTTGCACATGCTGCTCCAAAGATGCAGACCGTGCCTGTCATGGCTTCTAGCTTTGAGTCCTTATGTTGGCGCACCTAAAGACCTGATGTTCATTGAGAATACTTTCGCGCTCAGTGCCATCCCGTGCGTGGGGCTTTTTCTGGAATGAAGATACAACCGAACGTGGAGGCAGCTGGAATGCTCCAGAAAAAGGGTTCCCTAGGTCCAGAATCCTGTACGTTGTCGTTTGCCCCACCCATTTGCACGCACCTTGCTGAATGCCCTTTGGATCCCCCCGAAAAATTGGCGATTCAGCAGAAGAAACTGGCAAAGGGAAACAAGTGCCCAGGAAGCAAGGAGGCGCAAACTTGCAGGTGACTCCATTAAACATAGGCACATAAAATGGCCAAAACACGTTGCCATTGTTTTGGCACCGAAACGCAGAAGACTCGGCTGAAGAAAGACATTGCATAGCACCGACCGCTTTGATACCAAACAATTGCTGACGCAGACAAAGAAAAGCCGAACCAGCCAACACATCCTGGCGCTCTCTCTCCTCTCTCTCGCCCTCTCTCTGTCTCTCTCTGTCTCTCTCTGTCTCTCTCTGTCTCTCTCTCTCTCTCTCTCTGTCTCTCTCTGTCTCTCTCTGTCTCTCTCTCTCTCTCTCTCTGTCTCTCTCTCTCTCTCTCTGTCTCTTCTTTCCAGCAGTGCCGGTCTTAATTCCACAAAACTCTATGTTGATGTGTCTTTCTAGGGACCCCCAAACAATTATGGTTTTCCTGTCGGTGTCCCTTTAACAGCGCAAGCACGGGGAACCCCGTCCCCATGGCTTGGAGAAGCAATGGGCAGCCAAGCGATGAACTGGAAAAGAGCGGCTAGAAGGGATTGGCGAAGCCGAAAGACGCCGAAATCGCCTCCATCCCAGAAGAAGAAAAAAAGACGCTGACCAAAACCATGCCTCTGTGTCTGTTGAACCAAAAGGGAAAAACAACACCCCAAAAATTGGTTGATCAAAAGGTCCTTCACATGGGATGACCATTGAGGAAAACCCACCAAAAGGATGATACGTTCAAAATGGGAAAGCCTCCCATGGCCAAAACTGGGGGACCATGTGGCTCTTCCGAAACCTTGGCTCTGCCAACAAGATACTCCACATAGGAGGACCATTGAGGAAAGCCACCAAAAGATACGAAATCTGTCCCATGCACATGGGATGACCATCGAGCAAAAAGATACGAACACTTTCCCATGAGACGACTTGCCCCGTGGCCTAGAAAGGCCGCCAGGCCCCCGCAGAGGCACCGGTGCCGCGCGCAGAGCGTGCACATGCCGAGCCCGGAAGGCACTGCAGGAGGAGTTCCTTCGGGGAGCCTGGAAGGGGCGATCGATTCGGTACGTCAGGTAAGTGGTTGACGAAATGCTGGAGGCAAAGCGTCAGAAATGTTGTTTCCTCTCAGCACTTTTTGCGCCGACTTTGGATAGATACTTATAGGGGCAGGGCACTTGGTAAGTGGTTATAACCATGGTGAAATAACCCACTGAACGGAGACTTATCACCATGGCTTTGGTGGGTTGCAACCATTGCTACTAACCACTTACCTGACGTACCCTGCCCCTTTCAGTAGGGAACCCCCATTGGACCACGTCCGAATGTGGATTTGTTCTAAGGGTTCCACTTGGGATGCGTGTTTGGTCATGTTGACCCCATATGAATCAAGCAACCCGTTTCTTAATATGCGGGTGAAGGCCCCTCCGAAAGTGCTCTGAATCCAACCACATCATTTCACCCAGGAACACCCTATTCATCAACGGGTTGACTCATATGGGGTCAAGCGTATAAGGGAAACCATTCGGGAAACCATACTTCACTCCCTGAGTGGATGGCCCAAAAACTTCAGGAACTTCTTACTTACCACAAACATGGTCCAAATCCAGAAAGTGACTAAAGTCCAGGAACTCAGGGAGCGAGATAAGGGAAACCAGCGAAATCGTAAGGGAAACCGGGGGAACCATTCCTCTTCTTGGCTTTCAAGTGGCTCCTTTGCTGGGAAGTTTCACTTAGGGCTCATGTGTCCCATGACCCTGGGAGACTCGCCCACAGCGACTCGACTGTGGGCCAAGAAGGTCATGTCTCAAACCACCCCAAACCCAAAGGCGGAAAAAAAAGGACCCCTGTCCATGGAAGGGACCGGCATGTGTTTCTTGGAAAGCTGGGCAGCCTTCCGAGGTGAGGCACGCCCAGAGGCTGCCCATGGCTGTGTCTAGGGACCTGGACCCCTAGAAAATTGGTGCGTTTCCTTTGAGCTGCTCTTTAACCCGCACACTGCGAGAACGTCTCGAAAACGAACAAGGGGACAAACACAGACTCGCGTGGCCTTTTCGAAGGGCCCATTCTTTTAAACATGGGTTTGATTCATCCAAAGCGAATTTCAGAGCTCTGAGCGCCTCGAAATGACCAACTCCTTCAGATGAACTGAGGTCACCTTCGGACTTCCCTGAAAGGGGAAATGGCTCGGAGACCCCGGGCCTAAGACCTGGCAGCCTCGGCAACTTTCAAAAGTTGATCGAGTTACGGGTGGCGTCCATTGCAACTGCCCCCACGTTTGGAGGTTGTTTTAAAGGAAATGGCTCGGAAACCCTGTCTTGGCTTGGTGCGATTTGCACCTTGGGTTTGGTGCCTGCCGACTCCATTTGGGAACCCAGCACCCATTGAGGGGAAGCAGATTTTCTGGAAGGGTGTCCCGAAACGCAAACAGGGATTGCTGGGAATTGATCAGAACCAAGCCAGTGCCATGGTCAACCAAACTGCCCCTGGAAGAGGCAGTTTAGGAATGCCGGGCTGGGGCAAATGCAAGGGAAACGGAACAAGCAACCGCCAAATAATTCGCTTTATCAAAATATGGGGCACCCCCAGCCACGCGTTCCCTTCAGCCCCGAGTTCTCCACACCTGGCAGTCCGCAGACTGCCGCCGCCGGCGCCAGCCGCAGCCAGGAGCCACGTATGTCTTCGGGCAACGCGTGCGGCGCGTGGAAACTTGCGATTCTCACTTCATGCTGCCGTGTCTTTGTGTCGCTTAGAGCGGCAACGGATGGCAGGGATTCGGACGTGGCATCGTGCTTTTGGAACGACATGGCTTGGCGGTGTGGTCGTGCTTGGGTTTCGCCAATGCATGTGTTGAGGCACAACAGCTGCAGCCAGAGGGGCAGGCGGAGTCCCAAAGATGTCACCTTAAAGGAGCAGGTTTCTTTAGTAAGTGGTTAGGAATCATGGTTACAACCCACCAAAGCCATGGCTATACCCTTTAAGTAGACGGCACTGAAGCAAACCAACTTGAAGCCCACCCCCCCCCCCCCGCACCCCACCAACTCTCATGGAACCTAACGAAAGGAGGCCGGCTTGGGCCCTTGTCTGGTCAAGGGACCTGGTGTATATTTTTGGTAGACGACTTTCAGAGGAAGATTTGTGACATTCGCATCTGGGCTGTTCTCAGATCCCCCGCTAAAGTTTAACTTTTAGTGGGTTAAATGGAAATCCTCACTAAACACTAAAAAGCAAAGAGGCTAAGGGGATGGCTGGGAGCCACCAAGGCATGTAGCGTGTTGCAACTGAGGCGGAGCCCGGATGAATCAGCCTGACAGTCAGCCCAGCTCAGAGTTTCACCCTTTCACCCAGGTATCCCCAACCCCGAAACCTTTCCGGAACCCTCCCTTGCTTCTCCGAACGCTTTGGAAAAGCACAGACCTCTGGTTGGAAAAATCAAGCTCTGATCAGATTACTACCCTTGAGAAATCAACCAGAAGTTCATGAATCCTCGGTTGCTGGGGGGCAATATGTTCACTGTCACTGTGGGTAGTTCAAGTTAGAAACTGTCATGGTTTCCCTTTAACCTAGCTCTTGGGTGACTTTTACAGTGGCAAAATCGTGGGCTTGAAAATGGCTGTGTCATTGTTTTAGGCTTTTGGTGGGCTTCTTTTTTTGGGGGCGAAACTCCAAAAAAAAGAAACTACGAATCTGCGGCTTCGGCCCCGGTGGCCATTTGCCGAGACCTTCCACTTCGCGTGTTCGGCGAGTCCTCGAAGAACTTCAACAGCTCTTCCTGTAGCATGGCCTGCTGAGAGGTCTCGAGGCTCGCTGCCTCGCCAACAAAAACACCCAAAGCTCGGCCCAGGTCGGGTTTCGGGTTGGTTTGCGTGGTTTCGGGTTGGTTTGCGTGGACACGCAGCGGCGCCACCTGCGACCAAAATGGGAAAATAAATTTAAAAAGTGACATAAACTCAGGGACTGATTGGAGCTGGAAAAGGGATCTCGGTCTTTCTTTGAGGCGAAGGCGGAACCCCTTCTTGGGACGGCGGCTTTAGAGGGGAAGGTTGTTTTTTTTGCTAGCCCCGGCTTTTTACTAGCCCCGGCTCGGCGCAAGGCCTCCCAGAGAGGTTGGCTGGGGGCCACATCCCCAGCATTTCCGGGCTGGTTTGGGGTGAGTGATGGGCTTGCTGGTGTCTTAACGAGGGCGGGTCTTTGGTTTGTTTGGGGTTCATTTAGGCTCGGCAAAGGGCTGATTGGTGGTTTGGGGCAACGCCCCACAACCAATCCCAAACCAGACCAAAACTTGCTGGTAGTTGAGAGTTGCTCGGGCATTACTGGCCTCACTCGGACTAGGGCTGCCTATTGGCTTTGATTTGGTGGCAGTCCAGAGCTGCTCGGGGTTTGGGGTGAGTGTTGGGCTTGCTGAGGTCTGCATGAGGGCGGGTCTTGGGTTTGTTTGGGGTTCATTTGGGCTTGGCAAAGGGCTGATATGCAGGATGCGGTTGGGAGTATAAGGCTGACGGTGGGTCGGTTTGGGTTGGATTGGGGCTGAGTTGTGCTAGGTGTGCGGCTGGTTTAGGTGTGGCTTGCGGGTTGATTCAGGGATGCCCGATATGCAGCCCTGACAAACCGGCGATGCCGGAGATGCCGGGGATGCGGCCGCCCAGCCGCCCAACCAACCAACCAACCAACCAACCAACCAACCAACCAACCAACCAACCAACCAACCAAAACCAACCAACCAACCAACCAACCAACCAACAACCAACCAACCAACCAACCAACCAACCAACCAACCAACCAACCAACCAACCAACCAACCAACCAACCAACCAACCAACCAACCAGCCCCCCTAGCCGGGTTAAGCTCCGAGCCGGGGCTAGTAAAAAAAAACACCGGTTCCAGAAGAGAAACCAAAGCAGAATGCAGCCGGGCCCGGAAACGATTCCCATTTTGAGACAAACCCAAAATGATCATGTCTCAGATGCCCAGTGGCCATGGGAAAAAGGTATTCTTTTTTGGTTGGTTGAGTTTAAAGGGTCGGAACCCTTCCCCCCCCAAAAAAAAGGAAAAAGGGTGCCACTGGGCAACTGGGATGTAGTGACATTCAGTTGGCTCAATGGGACCTCATGGTCGCCAAGCAAACCATGTTGAATGGGCGGCTCGTTGTTTTTTGGGGGGAACCGGCTGTTGGTTTGGTTTTAAAGGGAAACCAAAAGGAAAACTGCACCATGTTAAATGTGTTTTGATATGATATCTTAATGGTGTGATTTATATGTGCATATATATGTATATATTTATGTATGTATTGCGGGGGGGGGGTACCCTAAAAAAAACGCACCGAAATGACAAGACACGGCAAGTGCTCCCAATCTCACTTCCACTCTTGGCTTTGGCGAGTTTCCGCGTGGCTTCTCTGGGCTGGAGTCCCTTGAGCGCACCCCTCCCTTTGACATGGAAAGTTCCGTGGCACGAGCAAGGGATGACGCATTGCCTACATGTCGTAAGTACCAAGTAGGGGAACACATTGAAAGTAACCATTGCAGTCAGTTGACTTGCTTTCTTTGTCTGCAAGATTTACAATAACTCCAAAAAATGAATTAAGGGATCCCCAAGTAAAGGACCCTCATCATGGCGAGCTCGTTATACCCCAGTGAGCTCGCTACACAATGCGCAGTTTGTATTGAACGCAAAGCGACTGTCACTCGTGATAAGTGGAGAAAAGTCGAGATCTTCCGCCCCGCCTGTGCGTGGGCGGCAGCACTGCACACTGCGCCCTGCTTCAGAGCCTCGGCAATTCGTCGGAGTTGGGATGGTGCGTTTCCTTTTGTTTGCGTGTGTGGCTTCCCTGGTTTTCGAGAAGGGGTAAAAGCTTGAGCACCTTGCTGCAAGGACCCCTCTGCAAAAAGTTTAACTGCTTGTGGGTTCAACGGAAAATCCACGATTTTTCCGTCCAAAAACCCGACCAGATGGCCCTAAAGAAAGGATTCGGGGATGCCGCGCTTGTTGCTTCCTCTTCCATTTACTTCCTGGCTTCCCAGTATCGTTTCAGTTTGCATGCCTTGGCAATCATTCCGCTCTCCACTTGCGAATGTAGAATGACCCGGCCGCGGGTGTGCAGCAGGATTTCCCGAAAAGTCGGCTGTGGCAGCTGGAGATTCCCGGCACTGACTTGGTGGAGAATGAACGCTTAGCCACTGACATCATGGCTACCACGCCGCTGTCAAAGTGCAAAAGAGTCAAGGAAGCTCTGGCATCCCCAAGCTTTAACGCCTGATTAAGATCAGCTGTTATCGCGTGCCGGTTCAGGCCGCGAATGTGGAGTGCTGCGCGGCGCGCGCGGAAAAAAAGAGTGGGCGGGAAGCGAGGGATGTGACCACTTTAAAGCACTAGTCCCGAGTGCGGGAAAGGGACATGGAAGCCACAGCAAAGGGACCGTTTGGTTCTTGTGTAGAGCGGAAAGAGGATTGCAGGTTTAGGAGACTTTGAGGCTTGCAGGAGGCTTGCAGGTTTACGGCTGTAGGAGGCTTGAAAGGGTCGTAGGAGGCCTTGCGCGTTCCCCGGAAAGCAGTTGATTTCGGGTGTAGGGCTTGTTGTCAAGGCCGCCCGAATTTAATTGGGTCGTGGCTGGCTGGTGAGGCGTCAACTGGATATAAGTCATTTCTACGGAAAGAGAGAAAGAGAGAGAGCGCGAGAGAGAGAGAGAGAGGAAAGGAAGGAACATACAATAGAAAGCAAGATAATGAAAAAAGGAAGGAAGGACACGGAGGAAGGAAAGAAAAAACGAAAGGAAGGAAGGAAGGAAGGAAGGAAGGAAGGAAGGAAGGAAGGAAGGAAGGAAGGAAGGGAAGGAAGGAAGGAAGGAAGGAAGGAAGAACAAAAACGAAGGAAGAAAGAAAGAAAGAAAGAAAGAAAGAAAGAAAGAAAGAAAGACAGACGGAGAGACGGAAAGAAAAGAAACAGTGAAAAGAAAGGACAGAACTTTTTTGCTTCAAGGGGCGTCCCGGCCAATCAAGATGTTGAGAACTTGTTGGTCCAAACTATTCGAAAAGTGGTCCGGCTCCTTCTCCCTTGGCATCCCTCAAGTCTCTCTCTTGGCTTTCTTCTTGTTCTTCAATTCCCATCTCTGTTCCTGCGTCCAGGCCCACAGCGCTATCTGTGGAGTTTCCCTCTCTCCAGAGTGCTGGATGTGCAGGCTGTTGATGTAACGCTGCGTCTTCCACAGGAATAATCCAAAGTCGCGGACCAGATCGCGCTCAGCTTTCCGACACTTTGCTCTGCACCGTCACTTCCTTGACGTAAACTCTGTCAACATCACCGGGACAGAAGACACAGGAGATAAAAACAGAGGAGATATCAAGAGAATGCCTCAAGGACGCCCTTTGTCGTACTGACCAGTTTAATATCCGTTCCTTGTGTGCCTTTTTGGGGGACCCCCAAAATGGTCGGTCTCCTTTTGGCTTTCCTTTAAAGCGAGGGAGGCTGGCCCATCTGTCAAAGGAAGGAATCTTCTTGGGGACAATTTACGGGGCGCGGCGCATGGGGCCTTGTCAATGGTGTTGAGGGGAAGCCGTTCAGATATTGCATTTCAAAGCAGTCTTGACCCCCAAAAACCACCACCCACAGACCAAAACTTGGACCCGAGCAAAGTGCAAAGCATCTGGAGGGGCCGATGTCTGTTGAGTACGTTTTTTCCTGGCTTCTGCCCTGCAAAAAAACCTATATAGGGAATCTGAAGGAAAAAGCGAACCCTGGAATGTCTGGAACGCACATGGCGGGGAACCACCCACAATTTTGGGGGAGCCTCCTTTTGAAGGCCGCATGATGCAAACAGGTTTTCTCCAAAAGACCAGATCTGCACACGTTAATAGAACGTGGGTCCCTGCAAAAGTGAGGCAACCAAACCGATTTTCTACTCTGTTGCCCAAAAGACCTGGACATAAAAGGTTGACCTTTTGGGACCTTGGCTGGATATGGACCAAAAAGGAAAATAAAAAGGTCGAAAGTGAGTTTACCCTGCGCTTTCCGGCGGTAAGCGTTTTGAATCAGGCGCTGGCAAAGGCACGCTTCAAAGGCGGGCCAGTTAAACAAGGTGCCACCATTCCAAGCCTCGATTCCCCTTTGCAGAACCAACTTTGGTGCTTTCTAAAAAGAATCCAAGCGATATTCTTTGGATTGAGCCCTGTTCTCCGCGGGCGCCCTGCCGACACAAGCCGCGCCACTGGAGACTGCGCAAGCTGGAGCAACCAAAACACCAATGGGTCAGGCTCAGCCGGCTCAGCATGTGTATGTCTGTTCACATAAACATGCTTGCTCATGCAAATGTGTGTATTTAAAATATGCTGTGTATGTGTATATGTATATGTATATGTGTGTATATATATATATAGTTATTGCAAATACATATATATATATATATATGTATATATATATATATATATATCCCGCTGCACTGTAGACACTCCAGGAGATTTATTAGTACTCGAAACCCATCTCAATAGCGAGGTCTCAAGAACAGAGACGCAAACATGGCCAACCCCGTCATTCACGCCACACCCCAAAGGCATGCTCGAAACTCGCCATGTCACAGAACCGCAAGCGGGGAGGACGCATGTGCTTGCGCGCATCGAACAGCTAGATTAGTGGGTAGCAGAATTTATGTCAAATGAAAGGTCCCTATTCGTGTCTTGTGGCATCCAAGACCCGGCCATTAACATGTTCAGACTTTACGCTATTAAGACTTGAAGATGTTTAGCGATTAAGACTTTAAGACTTTAAGACTGTACGCCATCAATACTTGCAGATCATTCAGATGTGAAGATGTTCCTCCATAATGATGTTTAGGTTTTGAGCCATAAAGATTTGAAGATGTTAAGTCAATTAAGATTTTGAGATTCTATTTCATTGAGGCGTTAAGGCTTTTAGCCATTCAGATTGTTCAGATGTTCATCCATGAAGATTTTAAGGTGTTCCGCCACTAATATCGTAAGATGTTCAGCCATTAAGACTTTAAGGTCTTAAGCCATTAAGATTTGCAGACTTTAAGCCGCTAAGATTCTAAGATCTTAAGACATCTCAAGGGGCTTAAGGGCTTAAGGGCTTCAAGGGGCTTGAGGGGAAAGCATAACTTGGGCGGATCTTCATGCGCGGCGAAATGTCCGCGGACTGAGCCGAAGGCTCTAAAGCTTCTTTTTGTATGTATGCACATACATATTGTAGATAAATGTCTATATCATTTATAGTATAGTATCATGAGTACAATGCATACATATATATATATATACATATCATCTGTGTGTTTTAGAAATGTGTTTGGTACAACCTTGTGTACAACAGGTTTGCCCAAAATAGGAAGGTAAGCCAGGCGACAAGGTGCCCCGGAAAAATATATATATATATATATTATAACCAAACATTGCCCACAAGAAGATGCGGTGTTCAGTATTGCTAGGAGTTGTTAGGAAGGTTCCTCTCATGGATTTTGAAAGGGAGTTGCCAGGAGATCACTGATTGCCCAATCTTGACACCTTCGCCTATTAGCCAGCGTAGATCAATTGAAAGCGGATCCAGGAGCGTCAGTCCTTGGAAAAAGCCACACGAGCCTTCTGAGAACTCCTCTTAGCATCTGAAATGGCATCGCCAAGAGCGTTCTTTCCATATCTTTCTAAGAACTTTGGTGGCTCAGGGAACCTCCGCCGGGGGTCGTCCTGAAGCTAAACATGTGGGGCAACATGAAACACGTGCTCGGGGCAATCTCAAAGCTGTTTGGGTGTGTGGAACTGAATAACTGGAGTAAAGCAATATTATTGGCCAATTCAGGGTGGATCCTACCAGCAAATATCAAACATGGGAGGCACAAGCATTGTGGGCAGGACATGAAACCCAAAACAATCATGCATGCCTGTAGAAGAGGCTAGCATATATGGCTGTGGGTCAAACATAGGTACTTGTTTTGGGAACCCTTGTACATGGAACCAAAGACTAAAACCTGAGGTTTCTTGGTGGTTTACCTTTGACCCATACCCATATGATCAATGGCAAGAGTACAAGGAAACGTTTCTTCACGCAAGCTGATGGAGTGCAACCTACCGCGAAGAAGAAGCAGACCTCCAAACGTGTTTGCCGCATAGCCATGGCCTTTTGGAAGCAGGGACGCTTTATTTCTAAAACCCACCTAAACCAGAGGAAATCATCCATGCTTAACCAAACTAGCCTAAAAAAGGACACCTACGGCCTTCACCGGGTTTAAAGGGCATGGATCCACCTCCCATCCCATAAGGGCGCACGAATCCACAGCATCCGCCGGGGCCTCAGGGAGCACGTCCATGGGCGGCGATCTTTGTACAAGTGGGCGAGGCAAAATGCCGCGACCTCCTCGAGTTCTGCGAAGCAATGGAGTTCTGCTTAAAAGCAAGTGTCCGAGTTGAGGCCATTGTTATTGCTGATGCATCTTCCATGCAAGCTACCCAGGTGGCCTGAGAGCGTCTGTCGCGTGCTCCACTTTGGGAGCTCTCGCCCTCAATGCGTGGCGCGGGCGTCCAGCAATCTATCCATTCACGATTGCAAGTCCAATGGCCAATGCCTTATGTGTGTCTTCTTCGGTGCCTTTTGTTTGGAAGCAACAAAAGGATGCTTCAACCGTTTCAGGCGTTCCATTTAAAAAGAACCCCTAATGAATCAAAGGAAATTCCTCCTGGCTTCACCCACTTCAGGCCAACTCAGCCTCAGAAAGCCAGTCAAGCCCAGATGTCCTTTTAGGAAAGTCGGTTGCAGTGGTCTGATTAGCAAACTCCGAAGCCAGGTGCCTTCTGCAACAAAGTGGAAACTGGGCGCAGCAAAAAGTGCGCGACGGGATGGTTCGGGAGTCCCTTGCCGTCGCTTGTAATCTCGAAACTCCCAAACTCGGACCCCTGCTTTTGGCACAAGTCGCACGCCACCCATGGAATTTGCAGCAGGACCGCAGTGGCTTTGTCCAAATTTATGGTTGATTAGCACGGGGCGTCCTTCATTTTCGGGGGGAACTCCCACCTACTCGGGCTATCCCCAACCTCCGTCTCCTTCTCGGGCGAGCTCAAAACCGTTCAAGACGAGAGTCACTGGATCTCCCCCCCGATTTGCCAGACCGCCCAATCAGCACCAGCCCTGGAAAGCCAGCAAACATGACTCATGTGTCACCTAGCTGCCAGATAAGAAATCCACCCCGCGAA